GTTCACAGAACTCGATAATATCATACAAAAACATCACAGACTTTCTAAGAATAATGGAACATCAAAAATCCAATAGCCGCCATTGATTTTCTTTCGTAAATAACATTTATGATGTCAAAGACCTTTTTCTTTGCTCACAAATGATATTTTTTCTGAATGAAAAATATATTGATTATCTTAGACAAGGGCTTATAGGAGAATTAATAACTGTTAATAATAATTAAAAGGCGATTTGTAAATTGGGTAAATTTATTAAATAAAAAATTTACTTGGGTGTTTTAAAAAATTATTTTAATAGTTAAAAAATTGTGAAAATTTAAACTACCACAGCTTTTATAGTTTTTCCGTAAGATTTTATTTTTTAAATGGAAAAAAATATTCAATCTTCGAAATTTAATTCTTGGTTTAATAAATTTAGCTTAAAGCTATATGTAAAATAACACAATTAAACTAAAACAAATATGTAAAAGGCCTAAAAATTATTGGATAGCAGTTTTATACGGAATTCAGAGGAACTAATTCCTCTTTAGAACAATATCATTATAGATTACTAATGACTCGCAAAATTAGGTATAGCCGACTCAGAATTACAATGGGATTTTCTCGAAAATGAGGTCGCTTGTTTCGACAAATGGTTCTTGTCCCCCAATGTATTGATACTACTGTAGCAGCCACTAATGAGTCATCGTAGCTTAAGGATTATGGTAATTAATGATATTCCAGTTGGTACAGAACTGATTGTTGAAGTGTTAAAATATAAGAGTTCAGAATCTATCTATTAGATTTATTATAATGTAAAACTTGGACCCAAGCAATAAGATTAAAATATATTAATTAAACTGCTCTATAATGGAAACAGAATGGAACAGAAATATAAAAAGCATCTTAACAAAATGTTAAAAGAAGCTGACGAAACTCAAGAAAAAATTCAATATTTAATTAAAGCTCGTTAAGCTCATAGTTTAAATGAAGCGAAAATGCGTGCTTGAAACAAATTCGCAGGCTAGCACAAGTAATAAACACTTAAAGAAGTAATATATTCAAGCATCACAAGTAATTTATTTTTTATTTTTTAATGGCGGGCACTTGGGATGTAGTGTCTCATTGGCCAGGAGTGCCAGAACTGCTACTCTCTTCTCGTTACCCAGTGAGCACCTGTGGCGAAGCCACGGCGGTGGAGCAGCGTCGCCCACGCCACACAACCACAAACCCATTTATAGGGCGGGTCACATTCCCTCAAAGGAGGAAGGACATAGAACAGAGAGAGAAAGAAACATCCATGCCCTGAGCGGGATTCGAACCCGCAACGATCAGTTCTAGAAACCAATTAAAGAGAGGCTGAACAACTCCATAGAGATCTTTATTGTTGCTTTTCTCTTTTTTTAAAATTTTGTTTAAATAGTCGGAATAAAATTAAGTTGTTTTTCCGGTTCACACTTGCACTTACTTGATTCTTTTAAGGTACAGGGTATACAATTACCCGATATACAATTGATCGATATTCCTCTTAGTGCTTTCCTTAAGGTTAAGTGCCATTGCTCGGTATTCCCTACACTGATGCTTTTTAAGACGGATTGACATTGCCAAATACTTATTTGTCCGGTATTCCAGGCATTGCTGTTTTTTATTGCCCACAATACATTTATTCGATAATCATTACAATGATATTTTTTAAGTTTGAGTGACACAGCCCGGTACACATTTGCTGGGTATTCCCTACACTGATGTTAAGGCAATGTGCCGCAGCCCGATATGCCCTACACCAATGTTTCCCAAAGTGTGGTACGCGTACCCCCAGGGGTTAGGGAACAGTTTAGAGTGGGTACGTGTTCTTATGCGATATATCTTGCAACAAACGAAAATTTCAAAAAAATTTATTTAAAAACAAAGCTAGCCATGAAAATTTACTATTACGTATTTTTCTATTGACCATTTTTTGCAGAGTTAACACTTAATAATTAGTGGTGTCAACAGACAGTAGTGATTTTTAACTTTTGTGCAGTTTTTTTTATAGTAAAAAATACATTAAATTTTTTAGTAGTGGTACACAGCTTTACGAAAAATTTAGAAAGGGTACACAAAAGTCATAAATTTGGGAAACACTGTCCTACACTAATGCTTTTAAAGGTTAAGTGACACTATCTCGAACGCATTTACTCAGTATTCCCTACATTGTGTGTCATAAAAAATTTGATTTATTGAGTAAAGTAAATATTTTTTTTGTTTGATCATCAATTTTAGTGACTTAAGGAAAAAGAAAATTCAAGTATTCCAAAATATTCAAGTGGTAGCAAAATTTACACTACAAAATGTATTTCCTTTCTTTAAAAAAATGGAGCATTAAGGTGTGTGTTTCTTGATCACCTCAAAGATTTGGAAACTTATTGCACACTTAGTAGTCATGCTAGATGAATATTATCTGAATTAAAGTGGTTACGAAATTAATAAAACTTAACAAATTAATAAAACTGCGATAAGTAGTTTGCTATTACTTAAGCAGACCTTTGGGAACTCCTGTCGAAAATCAGCACGAGTTCAGAGATGCCAACTGCACCGGACACGCCAAAATAATTAAAAAATCGGTAAACAACTAAGTAAATTTTGAAAACATTTGACTATTTTAGCTTGCTTTTGAAAAGGTATACCATAACAATAGGGCAATTAAGTCGTGAATTACATAAGCCTTCGAATTATTTAGAAATAGTGATGAATAAAAATCTACTAAATTGAATTTATTAAACCAAGAATCGCAATTGATAAACTACCACTTTAAAATATATATTTGGTGTCGGGAGCAAGTTGGCATCTCTGCAAGTTTTCTGAAAGCTTCAATATAGAACTATAAAAAGACTAGAAACCTATGATCTAGTGTAAAAATGCCACTACAAATTTATAATAAACAGCATTAGGGTTCAAAATGTTTTTTAAAGATAAAATTTGAATTTTCAAACCTATTCTTAGATTTTTGATACTTATTCAATACGTCTCTCTCTCTCTGCATTTTTATAAAAGAAATAACAGATAAATGATAAAAAAATATGTATAAGAAATCAACTACATAACAATAATTTGAGTTACATTAATTTTATATCCCTTAAACATTGACGAGAGAACCCTAGTCAATGCAAAAAGTCTAAATCTTCCTGAAACCCAGCGACTGAAAATAAGCATGGACAATATTTTGCGATCGAAAAATAATTTAATCAGCCACACTTAAATGAACTGTTAAACTAAATTGAAAAAACAAAAACAAAACTATTCCGTTAAAACGTTTAGCTCATTAGTATCCGAACTTTTATTTGTGTGATGATGTAAAAAGTCTGTTTGCGGAGAAATCGGCAATAAATATATATTAAATACCTCTATACTTCAACTATGAATATTTAAACAAAGTGGATATTTCTTTTTTTTACCTACCACATTATTGAGAAGGCACTGAGCTTTGACTGCAGATGATCTGCAGGGTAGCCACTTGCTGTGCTTTCATCAATAAAATTGATAAAGTGATGAAGAATTAATAACGAAAATCAGCATAATCTCAGTTAATTTTGCAATACTTTAATCCCTTGGAGGCGGGTGATTCATAAAAGCATTCGTACAAAATCAGAATCAGGATGTAAATATTAAAAAAAGGTAGCTTAAATGTTGGTGTTGCTAATTTGACAGACTCACTTTGCTTTGACTTTAATTATTGTTAGTTTAATCATATACATAATCAATGTTAGTTCAAAGTATAACTAAATAGTTATATTTTGAACAAAGTAATGGTGAATTAAATAAATCAAACAATTTTAACCCCGCCCACAAATAAACTGCTAAAGAATTACTTTGATTACCAGTTTTATCTTTTTTCCCTGGTTGATACGGTTTTATGCTGGCACGTATTTGTGACAGTCGGCGCGAATGGGTTAAGGCATTTTCCACAAAATAACTGCAACTAAATGACTTTTCATATGAACGTTTAAAATATTGTATTATTTATAGTGGTGGGCAAAATAATTTTATATCGAATTTATTTATTTATAATAGATATTTTCTTTTCATGGTACCCCTTTAAAATTTTTGCAATTAAATTTAGTTCATAGATATACATCCTATAAAAAATAATGTGTAGTGGCTTTTACAAATAGATAAAAATGACATTGTTTGATTCACTTTCGTTACCACTTTAAAAAATTTTTAAGACCCATGAAAACACTATTTGAAAATTAATAGCACATTTCTTCACCATTCAATTGCGCTTCGGCGATTTATCATACACTCCCAGTTAGTTAGAGCCCCTCGCGGGGTTGATGCTAAGATAACTGCAACATATGAGTAATAGCATATTTTGGAGAAACAAAAATAGATCTGTTAACCATAATATAATAATAATATAAATTATATTTGGATACGTTTGTTTTTTCTGAAGAGTAATTGTGAAAATTAGGAAGCATCCCATTAATTTAAGCGCAGATTTGATACAAGTTTTTATTTAGAAAAACTTTTTATCATCATTGCAAAATGTAGATTCACGTAGCAAAAATATTTATTGCAATTTTAATATTTCATCTTACGAAACTTTTGTTAGTTTTGAGAAAAATTTTTAATGCTAGTCATTTTCAAACAGAAGCATCTCCTTATATAATTTCTCCCTTTCTTCATTTTTTTTAATATTTAAAATAACTATTCAAGAAAAGAAAAGTTCTGATCGTTAAAACAAGTTTCTCGTATGTAAATTCGAAATCGTAAAACATAAAACTTTTTTAACTTCCTCACAACACCATCCGGAATTTTAAGTCATATAACAAAAATGACATAAATGACATCTGGCGCACTCACACACAAAAAAAAAAAAAAAAAAAAAAAAAAAAAAAAAAAAAAACGAAACAAAGTGTGCGCTTCAAACTGAACAAATCTCATCAACTCACATCCACATTCCCAAAGAAGGAAACGGACAGGAAAAAGCGACAGAGGGACCCCTAGATTATATCGATCCCGTAGTCCAGGGTGCCTTCCTTCAATCGATTTCGGAGGAACTCTTCTTCATCTCATTCACATACATCCCACCGAACGAAGAAGATGGCGATCCTCAAGCTACTCCTCAGCATCTTCAGCATCCTGTTGACAGTACGAGGGGCTGCCCTGCCGGATGCTGATCCGGAAGTTACCGAATGTGAACTGACCACGGGCCGGACACTGACGGTTATTAAATCGGCAGGATTCCCATCTAGGTATGGGTCCAACGTAGATTGCCAATACACTGTTCGGAGAAGATCCAGATCTGTATGTTCCGTAACGTTTCTCTTTAATGTTATGGATTTGGAGATGAGTCCGAACTGCACTAAAGATTATCTTCTGCTGAGCGGAGAGAAGATGTGCGGTTCGAAGCCCATAGGATTTTCCAGTGTGTTAAGTAGTCTTTTGATTGTTGTTTATATGTGGTCGATAGCTTAGATTGTTTTAATAATAAATTTTATGACATAGCTTTTATAGGAATCTGAAACTTAACCTGTATATTTAAAAATACTATAATCAGTAAACGTTTATCAGTTTTTAATATATAGTTATTAATATAAAGTAATATATCTGTTGCTATATTTAAAAAAACAAGGCACCTGAAAAGAAAATAACTGTACAGTGATCCAGTGGTTATAAAATATTTGTAATAGTTGTATTAATTTGGTCAGGAGAGCATTATTTTAAAAATTTAGACCTATTAGAGTGCAAAATTCTCGTAGAAATATATTTATTTATAAAATAATTTGATGAAGTAGTCACAAACTTATTAAAATTTTGATGTTTGTTTTATTTTCGAAACTACTTTTTAAATTTTGTTAAACCGGGGGAAACCTATCTCGAAAATTGAAAAAATTGGATACAATGTGTTTTCAATTACCTCGGTATTTGAAATCCCCAGATCAAAAGAACAAAATATAAAAATTTATTTAAAATTTTGATATATATACAAATATGTAATAAAATAATATATATATATATANACCCCGCTTATAAGGTCACTTTTGTGATGTCCGATAGGGTGACCTTATATTGAGGTCTGACTGTATATATATAATAATAATAATAATTTAATGAAAATCATCTAAGGAAGCACGCTGATTTCACCGGTTTCACTGGATTACATAATAGATTTGTTTTCAAAAATATTGAAGTGCTTCAAACAGTATAATAAGCAAAATTTTTTTCCAAAGTGACATTTTAAAATCAAAATTTTCCTCAGCATTGTTTTCCGATATGTACTTCACAGGATTTCCCACTGGATAATAATTACATACTTACTGTCTATAAAATGGAGCTTGCGGTATTTTTTATTGAATTTGACTTCCCATTTTGAAAATATAGCTTTGAAATCCATTTCTTCAATTTTAGGTTTTTATTTATAATTTCCTAAAAGAATTTTTTTTATACTTTAAAAATAAAGATTTGCAATATATTTTGAATAAGGTAGATTGCAACTTAAATATTTAAGTTTTAGTTTTTTAAAGTTTTGTTTAGTTTTATTAGGCATTAAAAAGTGATTTTAAAAAGCAATAAATAATTGAGTGATTAATTATTTTGAATTAAAGTAGAATAATTATCGAAGCTTAATAACTATTAAATTCCACGAACTATTAAGAGAAAACTCTACTAAGAAAAATTTTTGATTGAAGAGTATCAAATGCTAAAGATAAAAATTATTTGAAGTACTGATAAACATTTAAATTTCCTGACTTTGATAACGGTACTTACGAATTTTTAAAGGGAGCTTTTTTGCTATCGTTGTGTGAGATATTACATAAAACGAAAAATATAAGCTTCTTTTTACAAAAAATTGAACATATTTAAAAACTAAGGAAAAATTAATAGCTTATGTAAATAAATGTGGCAGAGAAATTAAAAGAATTTTAATGCATTTTCCAATGCTGTTTTCCGAATATGGCTTTTAATAATAAATGTGGCTCAGAAATTAGGTAGAATTTATTAAAATACATTTTACCATCCGTTTTCTAAATACCATCCATAAATGAAGTGAATCGAGTTCGAATCGCAGCAATGGCTGGTCGATACGAATTCCGCACCCGGCTCGCACCGACCACAGTGCTGATGTAAAATATTTTCAGTTGTAGAAGGATCATGGGTTAGAGTCCACATGCTGTCAGGCTATCCGTAAGAGATTTTCACGGTTTTCTTCCCCATGTAACGCAACGTATTAGTTCCATCAAAAAGTGATCCATGGTGTCAAATTTCTCCCAATATTTGATCCAGGAGTTCTCTTGTCTTCTGGATTGGGTTCAAAACTACAAGGCTGGAGTTGAATATTGGCAGTTGCAAACCGAAAATTGGGTCAGCTGTTCAACGACCGTTAATCAAATAAAATACCATCCATAGATTTCTTTATTATCATATTTTAAATGTAATTATACAAGAATGGGAATAAAATATGAAAATTTTTCTTCACTAACTCCATAGAAGTATTTTTTCTTTTAGCAACAAATATTTTGAGAGATTTCACATGCCGAAACTGTTGGAACAATTTGAAGTTAGGTCTTTTTTACCTCTTCAAAATTTGCATTCACCACAATTAGTGGAGGAAGTTGAAAGCGTTTTTTAATACTCCTGAAATTAAAATAAAAAGCATAGTAATTATAAATATTGCAGTATTATTAATTATTTTAAATAGCTGGCATTAAAACTGTGAAGAAGTTATTATCTAAATCTTATTTGATTCGTCAGAATTTTGTATGAATGATGAGGGTATCATTTTTAAAAGATTCAAATCTAAAATTGTTTAATTAAAAATGCAGTGATCATAGTATCACACACAGTTATCACAGAAAGAACTCAATCTATCTCAACAGCAAACTTAGAAAAAAATCACAAATCCTCAATTAAAAAAAAACTTTTTGTAAGCAATAGATAAACTCTTGTCACTACTTTCACCTTATTTTGGTGAAATTAGTTCAAAAATCGCGGTCATTTAAAAATGTTTTAATTTTTATTGAACTCTATATTGATCACTGTTTCATAACACAGGGATTAGTTTGGTAAAAAACCAAAAAGGCTGAAAATAGTTACCCAAAAATGCTATGTGCAAAAACACTGAAAAAATAGAAAAAAAAAATACATGAAATTTGAGCAAGAAAAAAGTGTATACAGGAAGCATTTATCCGCAGAATGCTATCAACGTCTTAATAAAAATATCGATGCGAGATTTTATTTATTTATAATGTGTTCATATGAACCTCAATGCGTGATTTATAAATCACGCGAAAACAAATATCGATATTTAGTTTTAAAATCGCGTGAATACCAATCTCGATGTTTGATTTTAAAATCGCGTTTATACGGATCTCGATGTTTGATTTTAAAATAGTGTGAATACGAAACCCGCTATTTTGTGATCCCCCCCCCTTAAGAATTCACAAAAGATGAACTTAAGAGAAAATAAAGCTTTTTCTTTCTTTTGTTATAAAACAAAAAATGTATCGCGCTCGTGTATATTGTACATACCTGGCTCTTAAATTTTCTTTCGAAACCACTTACTATTTTAACTTACCTGAAACTATTTTAATTTCCTTAAGCGATTCTTAAATCACTCCAAAAAATTTAATTGCAAGAACTGGAAAGCGTTTTTTTTTAAATTTATTTTTACCCATGATTAAATACATAAAAGCCTATTGAATGCATAGAGTTTTATAAAAATATATTCACTTTCGGTTTTTTCTGTTAGACCAGGGAAATTTTGACTCGATGAAATAAATTGAAAAAAAAAAAAAAAAAAAAAAAACAAATTGCTACTTTCTTTGAAAAAGTTCTGCCGCATTTCTCTGTAACTACCTACACAATTAGGAAAAACGAGATTAGAGGGAACATTGCCCTGGCTTTAATCTTTTTCTTACTGTAATACAGTATAAGTGTATTTTTGGGAAGGGTACAACTTGGGAATTTTTTAACCCCTTAACGATCGGTTAATTTTCAAGAAAACCGTCTTAAAAGTGACTATTTTTTTAGCTTTTGTATTTGTATTACGTATTTGATTAGTGCTGGCATTTAGTCTTAAAAAAAACTATCTGCAATTACCTTAAAAATATCCTGGTGCTGCAATCTGGAGTGTACAAGGAGAAATAAAATGTTTTCCGGGCAAAGGAAGTGAATTAGTTTTATTCATATTGGCGCGCTACTATTGAACACTCCAGCCCTTCAATATCACGGGAGCGAGAAATAGAGGGCGAAACCTCACCCCGTCATTTTCACGGGAGTGAGAAGGAAGGAGTGAAGTGACTAAAATAAGCATCATGCACTAATTCAGAACCGCAATAAATCTATATGCATGTAAGAATGTATGCCACTTGCATATTAGAGGTTATAAAACTTAATACAAAAAGAAACCATGCATATTTCAAATTTCTCATACAATAAAATTTCTCATATAAAAAAAAAGAAGTCAATGAGGTTTTTTTTAGGGATTTTCTGATTTATTTCACGGTACTTAATGATAGTATACAAAATAATATTTAATTATGAAATAAGTATGAAAAAGTTAAAATTATTGATAAAATGTAATTTAAATGTAATTTCATCTGAAGCAAAAATAATTAATTTTAACAAATTAAAAATTACCTTAGGAACTGTGTCCTTCTCTGAAGAGGATCAGGTAACGATGTCCTTTCATTCCGACAACGAGACGAGAGGTCTGGGCTACATGGTAACTGTCGTCCAACAAGACTGTCCATTGCCAACATGCGATGCGACTTTCATCGAAGAAGATTTCATAATATCCTCACCCAACTATCCTCTGCCATATGACAATGGTCGAACATGCACCTATACAATACACAAATCTAATCCATCTATCTGTAGACTACTTTTGAAAGTGGTATCTTTTGATGTTGAAGAAGACCCCCATTGCCTATCTGATTTCTTATTGGTCAACAATGATAGACTGTGTGGTGTAATGAGTGAAGGACAAATAAGTGAGTATAACTGAGGGATTTGAAAAAAAAGCTGTAGATCTATTTTTTTTCATAAATAACTTGTTTAAAAAAAACTTCGTATATATATATATATTTTAA